CTCCGCGAACTCTCCATGAATTCCCATTACCACATTTTGATGGAGGGCATGCCAGCACTTTCAGTGCTCTCAATCAAGGAAGTGTCATTGGGCAAAATAACGCGGATTGCGCGACTCACCCGACTTCATACCCAATTTACGATCGCTTGAAATTCACGTCAGCACGCCCGATCGACCCGGGAGCGCTCCCCCGAGTGAAGGGGGGCAAAACTCTAGCAAATGGAGGCGAAACCCGTATGACCCCGAGAGCGAGAGCGTCGATTCGGAAGATCTTGAAACCACACTTGACTATGAAGCGTTGGCAGACGCCCTCTTTGCGAGATGGAGCCAACCCAATTTTGCCAATGCCCGACTCACAAACTTCAGCCTCATCTGGGAGGAGCCGACGGATTTTTATCCCAGTCTCAGTGAGTATATCACCGAGGAGGATATCGGGCTTCGCCCTGATCACGATATTCTCGAGCGGCTGTCGGATCTCGTCGATGATGGAATGCGAATTTATTTGGGGAGCCAGAACAAGTCGTGGTTGTAATTTCTCCTTCGGTCTTTCTTGTTGTTCGGCAAATTCTATTCGATACCGCTGCGTCACATTTAAATTTTGCTCTCTTCTACGGTAAGCCAAAAAGAATACGGCCGGGATTCACCAAGATACCCTCGGCTCGAGATTCTCTTCCTCGATCGACCTGTGTGTACCGTTTTTACCGTTTTTTTCAACATCTCACGATGACGGATTTATCTGCTATTAAAATTTATTCTAGCACAAACTTTGAGAATAAAGTTTGGGCATCCCAAAACAATGAGCAAACTGCTTATTACCTACAGCGATCTTCGAGCAATAGTGACTCTGAGGGGCAACGCCCATCCCTCCTCCTCAAAGGCCATCCTGCTTTCCTCAATGAACGCCTCCCATTCTGCGTGTATCGCACAAAATCAATGAAAGTTCCAACACACGCCAAGATATAAACACGAACCGTCGTTGTTGCTGGGAACGCTGTAGGTTACTCCCTCCATGACAGTGTTCAACCGCTCCCCGCCATCGGCGGTTGCTCCAACACCACGAGCCTGAAAGCCCTTTGCTGCGCCGAGCATCTGCAGCATTCCCGCTTCCCGCGTCGCTGGGTCGGGTTGCAATTTTCCATACAGGAGGGGATAAATCGTCTGTGTCACCTCGGTGAATCCTAGAGATGGGAGATTGGCAGGAAGCTGCGGGAGGAGCTGCGCTTTTGCTACTTGTTCTTCTGCATCGAGTCCAAAGGCTCTGAATAGTATTTGGACCCGTCAGCTAAATGAGAGAAATCTAGAGGAAGGGATCGCACTTTGCCATTGTTCCTACGTACTTCTTCATTCTGGGAGGGTACTGCGCGAAATCCTCCTTGATGGTCATCCGCGTGTCTAAAACCTGTCCTAGCAGCGTAAACCGGCTCCGACTCGGCGCATTGCTGAACACACCTGGATATATCCACCTGGCTTAAGCGCGACGAGCAGATTCCTGTACACATCGTCCCATTTTCTGTAATCCAGCCACCCGAATAAATGCCGGGCATTAATGAGGTCGAACTTTGAGTGGTATTTTGAGGGAAGCGGTTCAGTCAGATCGGCAATGTCAAGCAGCAACGGGCGACCACCGCTCTCTGCCGGCTGTGGGAACTTGGCGTCGCTGATGTCGACGCCATGGAGCTCTGCACTCGCGGGCAGCAGATGTGCCACTTCAGAGAGCCATCCAGCAGTTCCTGTGGCTGCGTCTAAAACAGCGGTGATTTCATCAATCGGAACGGGGGCCTTGATTGGCCCTCCTCTAGCAAGGATCCGTGAGAAGGAAAGCATTCAGATCGAAGGAATTCTCATACATGGCTTTGGACATGATAATTCCTTGATTGATTAGTTTCGCTGGAGAGGACATCATGTTTGGGGCGGGTTGCAGCCTGTGGAGTGGACGCTTTAAATACACAAAATGGGTGCGGGTCAAACCGGGAGATTGGCAGTGAATTGAGGAGGTGATCAAAGATGACGGCTCTGCATCAACGCGGGAATTTGCGCAACGATACATCCGACATGTGATCGCGTTAACGGATTGTCGAGTTTTTTTTTTTTGCAAAACATATTACTGGCGATGAGCGGAGTTGAATCTACCCTACTTTTGATGACGTTGAATTACCCCCGGTTTGGGGCCAACTTCTTGTTGAATCACCTCGCTTTGAAAATTTACACTAGCAATTGACTTGCCGTCTTCATTGCATTGAGACCCATAGTTAATCCAACATTTTTCATCTTGAAACACCCTCACTTTTTCGAGGCCAAGCGCTATTGAAACACCCTTGCTTTTGGTCCTATTTGAAACAGCTCTACTTTTGGGTGCATGATGTTGAATCACGGTAACTTTTGTAAGTATAGTTAGGAGTTGATAAATGGGAACCACTCGACTGGGCAAAATCTCTGAGAAACAAGAGTTTCATGGGTATGGGTTGTGGGCCTGTTTAAGATCTGATTTTTGGAGGTTATAATCCTCGGGTGTTGATTTATTGTCGATGTTCAACTTGAACCGTCTTAAAGCCCATCCTTGGCTGCCCCTGCATGGCAATGGTTCCACAATCTGCGGTTTTGTGATTTAACCAGCCCGTCGAGTCCCCATGATCGCTGCATGGACAGTGAATGAAACAAGATCACCTCCAACTGCTGGGCAGGGTCAGTTGAATTTCTTGGGTTGTGCAACTCTAGGGTCATTCACAGTTCCCTTTTTCCTTCCCTTTTTCTCTCCCTCTTTTGTTCCCTCTTTTCCTCCTTTTGCATTCACTTGTGTTCAGGCTCAAGTTCAGGTCCTAAATTCTTGTAAAAAATCCTTGTGATGCTAAACACCTTCAGAACAGGTTATGAATCCTCCAGCACTCCTCAGATATATTATGTACTTAGATTATTCAAAAGAGGGAACAAAAAAGGAACAAAAAAGGAGATACATGTGGGGGGTTTCACAGTAGACTTTTTCCAGCCCTTTTTCTCACCCTTTTTTCGTGGAATTCTTGCAGTTTTAGAGGTATCAACTTAGTTTTTCCCCTTTTCGACTCTTTATAAATGCCAAATGCTTTTTACATGTCAGATGCTAAAAGGGAAAAAAAATCCGGTGAAAGAAAAAGGGTGGAAAAAGGGAACAAAAAAGGGTGGAAAAAAGGCTACTGTGAACGACCCTTCTGTTGCTCTGATCTCCATAGAATCTGAGAGGTTTCTGAACCAAATTAAATGCCTTTGAAGCAGAATACCTGATCCATAATGCACTTCTGAGATGAGCCTGAAATGAGAAAGTGAGGGTGATTCAACAGCAGAAAGTAGGGGTGTTTCATTAAACCTGGCAGCCAAAAGTAAGGGTATTTCATTGTCCAAGAAGTGGGGGAAATTCAATGCATCAATTCAGCATCTCAAACACGGAGATTCAACAAGCAAACTTCAGAAAGAAAGGGTGATTCAAGCAGGTGTAAATTGACACAGCAGAAGTCAAGGTGATCCAATAACTCCAGAGATGCCAATAACATATTTTCGAGTTTTGTTTAGACAGGTCTTGGACAGTCTTGGACTAGGTTCCTTCTTGTTTAACTTGTTAATCTGCAGTTAATTCATGGAACTCCCATGAACTCCATTTTTTTGGTTCCTTCGATTTCAAGGCCAACGGCATCTTTAGCAATCCAGATTGGTAGGGGGCATTTAGTCTCTCGTAGACAGACGCTTCAACAATTTTGACCTCGTACCTCGGTTTGTTGAAGTCTGTTAGTTACCGCGGGGGTCCGATCGGGTCAGGATATTATTACATAATCATCTTTTGATAAGAAACGCTCGGTGAGAATAGGATTCCCTGTATTCATTCAGGACTAACCTAGGATAGATTGCCTTGCCTATGAGTCTGCTGTGCCAGGTCTTGGAAATTTTTTAAGTACCAGTTGCGGTCAAGAACGATTTTTCTTTCGGGCTGCTGACAAATGGCATCAAATGTCGCACGGCTCTGAAGTGCCGTTTCACTTACATTTTCGAGCATTCTGAGGAGACAGGATGCTTTGAGACGTGTATAAGAGCCGTCATGAGGTTAAAGGAGGTGAAAAGATGCTTTTTTAACAAACCTTGACGTGCGGTGGATTTCAAACTCCGACAATTATGTAATAAGATTCTGACCCGATCGGACCCGCGGTAACAACAGGACTAGGGGGCATTTCACTAGAGCCAATTTGGAGCATCATCACTGGGTGACTTCCCATAAGGTAAATTTATGCTGGGATGCTCAGACAGCTGTCGGGACACCATCACTTCGGACATCCCAAAACGGACGGATTTTACTCTCCATCACTCGAATAAATAAGATCCTGGAGGGGGGGGTTGCTACCCCCCCCTCCAGAATTTTGGATGATGGAATAAAACCTTTTCGGACAACATTGATCAATCATTACTTCCGGCACTTCGGCTGACGTCTGGACACACTCTCAATCAACTCTCAATGTCCTCCCAAGTTCAACACATGGAACACAATCATAAGGCCTGAAAAATGGCTTAGAGTCCTCCAACCTCCACCACAACCCATTTTGGTCACTATTTCAACCTCTTTTACATTGAGGTCTGTCTGCTGTTGACCTCGGCATATCATGTTGCATCTCCTCGGAATGTCCAAATCTTTGCTAGGATGACAGTGTACAGCCAAGCAAGCCCACTGAGGGAAGAGGGAGAACAGAAAAGGGGCAGATATGTTTGAATCACCACATTAAATTATAATCTTTTGCTTGCGGGAAACATAGCGACTTGAATATTGCTCGGGTTGATCGCATCATTGGCACCCTCAAACAAGCTCGGAAATTCAGCAGGAATAGATTTACCTCACGGGATGTCACCCACTGTCGGGTTGTCCAATTTCACCAAGTCCAAATTTCAGCTCGACTTAGTGCTTTTTTGCCAAATTTTCAACCACACAGTTGGATTTTGGATTCAGCTCATCTGCGTATCATACCCACCTCACTGAAGGGACTCATACCTCCGAATTGGTGTAGGGGTTAACATTGCCGCCTCTCAGATTACGTAAGCAAGGGTAATAATGCAAAACGCGGCAGCCCGGGGTTCGATTCCCCGATTCGGAATTTGTTTTTATTTCTTCAGTTCTTATTCCCTCAGTTTTTGTCTTCAGTTTTTTTCCTCATCTTTTCTTTGTGTTTCAGCCAAGTCCCTACGTCTATTTCTAACATTAACAGCAGTCTCAGCGACCCAAGAGTCTTGCCAGCAGAAGCAACGCTGTGGCTGGTCCACTGGCAGGAGATCGGGGAATTTCATACATGGCAATATAATGTATTGTGTTGTGAGAGTCTGTAATGTACAAGGAGGATAGCGAGCATTAGGGTCGTTCATGGTTCCCTTTTTGCTGCCCTTTTTACCGCCCTTTTTGATTTCCTTTTTGCTCCCTTTTTCTGTTTCTACAAATATAACCTCAGTTTGACCGCTTGACTATACTGGGTTGAAAGGCCTGAAGGATTAAATATGCTCAACAACGATCATGGAACACTTTAGGACACAGATTATTGAAAAAAGGGAGCAAAAAAGGGAAGAAAAAGGAGAGATGTGGGGGGTTTCACAGTAGACTTTTTCCTGTGCTTTTTCGCACCCTTTTTCCGCAGAATTCTTGCATTTTTTGAGGTATCAACTTGGGTTTTCTCCTTTTCTACCCTTTTTACATACCAGATGCTAAAAGGGAAAAAAACCGGTGAAATTGATGGGAACTCACAAAGGGGGGAAAAAAGGGAACGAAAAAGGGCGCACAAAAGTCTACTGTGGACGACCCTATTATGGTTCATCCAGGTAATTACAGCTACTGGATGACTTCCCGTAAGGATAGATACTTTCCGGGGAGTATTTGAGGGGTGCCAGCAATTTCGGCATACATAGTTTAGTTTTAAAATTTAATCATTGCGGTTCCCGTAAGACTATTCATCATAATAAACCAGATAATTCTACCGTACGGTCGCATCAAGGTGTCACATACCGTGACTTCAGACCTCATTCCACCCTTAAAACCATTCTCATAATCCTAATTGACTCCTCGGCCTTTTCAATTACTCCTACTTCTGGTGTACTAGACGAGATGAGAAGTCCCTGAATGCTAGGAGAAAGCGAACCGAATTGATTCTGGAACTGGGACATGAGAATCATGGGCCCGATGCTAGAAGACCATCCGGGTGAGGAAACCACACAGAGAGTATGAAAAAGGTCTACCTTCCTGAATCGAATCCCCGTATGAAGCCTCCGAAAGCTGTGAAGAGTTTGGGCCACACATACGCCGGAGGCATCGCTCGTTTGAATTTGAGCCCCGGGACAAAGGGAGCTGTGGTACTGTTAGAAACTTGGGCTTGAATGCACGAGCGTGTTTCATAATGGATTTGTAAAGGCCAACTGGAGACAATATTGTTGTTGAGGTCGGAATAATGTTGCCACGACTCGGAAAGTCGAGTCGCTCCAAGTCAAGTCGGCGACTCGACTCGATTCGAAATCGACTTGGGAGCAAGTCGACTTGAGTCGACTTTTCTTAAATGAATTTTCAGAAACTCGTTCTAAATACTCTACAGGTAGAAAAAACGCAAAAGAGAAAAAATTGAAAATATATATATTTTCGGCTGTCACGTCAATGTCACACAATGTCACAATGTCACTCCTGTCACAAAATTCGACTAGGTTCCCAATTTGTCTCCAATCGCTTTTTTTCGACGAACAGTACAACTAGCTTGTGACCGACTCGAAGTCGACTCAAGTCGACTTGAGTTGATAAATTGACTCGACTCGACTCGGTTTAAATCGGCGACTCCAAGTCGACTTCGTCGGCTCAAGTCTGGAGTCGCGGCAACATTAGGTCGGAATAAACACATGAATCATATCCCCGCTACATTTTATAACGAGTTATCGGCGCACGGGGCGCGCTGAATATTGCTGAATAAAGTCAGGCCCACGGCATTTGTATGTCTGCGGACGGATTTGGTCGAAAAATGGCCTCAATGTCTCATCACAATGCGGACATTTTCTAAGGAAAAAAGCGCGAAGTCCGATCCAAGTCGCTGACGGGATGGGGTATTCTGCCAGGAAGTCCGATCCCAATGCGTACATTTTCACTGTCAAGCCAGGCAAATCCCGGTCTGTAGTGGGGTGGATAGCTCCTACAGCGAAAATTAACCCAAAATCAACCCAAACAGGCATTTTCAAGCACCAAAGGTACCTTCTCGTGTTTGCAGGTCCGATCCAAATTGCCGACGGATGGCGGCAGAAAATTACCTATCTGATCACAATGTATGTTTCTCCAGAAAAAATACATGTACTGAAAGAGCCAAAATCCGCGCAAATGGATCGTACATATAACCGCATATGCCACGGGCCTATAAAGTCGCGTGCCGCGTCAGTTGTGGAGTCAGATGCAATATATATTTGAAAATTTCTTTCTTTTTTTTTTTTTTTTTTTTTTTTTTTGGTGGCGCGGTTTGAATGTTCAGCACAGCCGACATAGTCGTCTTGCGTCGCCCGCTAGTAAATTTTATCCGAGGCAAAGCTAGAAACCTTGGAAATTGTGATCACCGCTGAGGAAATGCCGTTACGCACTGAGTGTGGGACTCATGACTCGGCCCGGCACAGCCCCCCGCGATCGTCCCCTCACTTACCTCTCGCCTCTCCCCCGCTGTCGCCTGGCCTCAATACCCACTAAAACCCCAGCGCTCCCAGTCCAATCGCTTGGGAGCTTGTCCTCCTCATGTAGGACACCCGTCCATGTCTTGATGACGGTTTTGGCTGGAATCGCCTTCTTCTCGTACTTGTAGCGGTTCGTCATGCTGCAGTCGAGTTGAAGCCTCTTGTTCATCGCCGCCACCCATCGATTGTGGATCTCGGTCTCTGTGGCGTGTTGGCCACCATTTTGCAGAACCCGCTCACAACGCAGCACCCATATCAAGTGTGCAGATTCAGACATTAAAATCCGGTACAGTCGTGCATCTCCTGGCTTGATTTTGTCGTTTTCATCTTTAAACCTTGCTAGGCCTGCCGTTATGATCGCTCCTATTCCTGGCCATGGCCAGTCTGGGTTTCTCTTTATCCATAGCTCTTTGGTTAATTCCCATATTTCCTTCTGGCCGGGTATTTCGCATTCAGAGAGTATGTGCTCCATGGTTTCAGTCTTACTGCAGTGCTGACATTCTCCCCAGAGCTGTTTCTCTGGGCTGGTCCCTTCTCTTTGCCAGTGGGTTCCAACCATGTATGCGTCGTGTGTCATCATCCACATAAAGTACTGTGTTTCTCTGGAGATGTCTTTATTCAGGAATGATTTCCATATCTTGTCTTCGGTGGGGATAAATCCAAAGTTATCTTCACATTCCGCCTTTGCCCGCTCGATATTGGCTTGGGTTCTTGGCCGTTTCTTCCGGTTTTTTCTCCTCTTCCTTTCCCGGATAGCTCGGTATGCAAGAGACTGTGTCATCGCTTTCAGTTTTGCGCCCGTTAGCGTTAGGTCAGGTGGAATTCCAAGGGGTACGTCGTCTTGTACATCCTTTTTAGCCCCTTCATCCGCTTTCTTATCTGCGCCTTCATTTCGATGGTGCCCATTGTGGCCTTTCACCCATTTCACTTTCGTCTCCCGTTTCCTTTGGCGCAGGGTTGCTACAGTGGCTCGGTGGAGTTCCTTGTTGGCTACGCCAATATAGCCTTGGTCTTCCCATTTTTTCTTATTCTTGGTGACGGCATTAAGGGCGTATTTTGAGTCTGTTTCTATCCGCAGGGTCGTGTTTGCTCCTGCGTTCCTGACCGCCTCTTTGAGTGCGACCACCTCGCCTGTCTGGTTTGATTGCTCGAGGGATTCCGGGAGTCTAATGGCTTCATTCCTTGGGTCGTCTTCGTCGTAAAAAATGCCAGCACCAGCGACTGCATCGTCTTGTCCATTGTTGAAGCACGACCCATCCGTAGCTACAGTTTCTTCGATCGCATAGGTTGGGTCTAGTCTGAGGTCTGGTAAGTCATTTGTTACTTCCCCTTCCGTGAATATTCTGAAGATGTCGGCTAGTGTTCCGGAGAGGGTCACACTTCGGTCAAATATTATCCAGCCGTCTCCGTCTTCGTTTTCGCTCTCTTCGATCTCATAGTCTTCAGGCTGTGGGCGCCGAGGGTCCCATTTAAATGGGAGTTCATTAAGAAGTTCCCGAGCTCTTGTGTAACAGTCATGTGGGTTCTCGCACCCTCTGTTTTCCCTCATCTCTTCACAGTTGTCACACCCGCACTCTTTCGATGGCTGGTGTGCATGAAGGGCTAGTCCTCGGGCCATGTCTTCAGCATCTCCGACAGTGAGAACCCCATGTTTCCCTTTGAGGCATTTACTGGCTTTTGAGTTGGTCAGGCGTCGAATCCGGGGGTTTGCTTCACGATGGTACCATATAGGCATCTGTCGCAGAATTTTACGTGAGAAGGCCAGACCCTCTGGCCGAACTTGGAAGGTTTTTGCGGTGTCCAAAAGGCTCTTCATTTCGGGTTTGATCTTAATTTTCTTTCCACAGGCGGTTTTGAATGACTGCAAGAATGGATTTACCCGGATTTTTGGGTCGCTTTTTTCATCATTTGGTACTTTTTGAGCGAAGACTGCATCTGCAAAATAGCCCCACAGAGCTCGGTCTGGGCCAAGATTGAGGTATTCTTTCAGCCACATTACATCTATTGCCTGATTTCTCGCCTCTAGGTCTAAGACATCACGGCCTCCCTCTGCTATCGGATTCTGAAGCGTTGCTTCAGCAACCGGACTTCGGTTTTTATCGTCACCCCATATGTACTTGCGGATCCTCTTGGTGAGTCTCTTCTCCACTGATTTCGGCATCCTCTGGACTTGTGTCAGGTACTGCGTCATGCCGCCCACCACCATCTGGATGATGTGTTTCCGCCCTTTGATTGTTGGGTTGCTGTTATTCCAGTTCTCAAGTGCGTTGTCAATTTTTTCAAGTACCGGTGTCCAGGGTTGAGCTGCATTCGCGTTGTTTCCGAACCAGGCTCCTAAGATCCTCACGGATTCACCCTCCTTGACAATGTGCATGTGTTCTGGGATCTCGTCATGCTCTTGTGTAGTTTTCCTTGTTTG